CTGCCACAAAAGACCTCTTTAAAGTGTTCAAGAGAAAAGATGTCAGTTTGAGGACAAAGATGTGCTTGACTAAAGCATGGCATTTTCTATTATATGCATGTGAAAGTTGGACAAAGAATAAGGAAGACAATGAAAGTAGAAGAATTCATGCATTTGACTTATGGTGTTGGAGAATATTAAAAGTACCATGGGCTACTAGAAGAACAAGCAAATCTGTGTTGAAGTAGTTACAATCAGAATGTTCCTTAGAAACTAGGATGATGAGAATTGGTCTCTCATAGCTTGGAAATATTATCAGAAGGGTTCAGTCCCTGGAGAAAGCGATCAGGCTTGGTTAAGTGGAGGGTCAATGAAAAAGAGAAAGACACATATGAAATGAATTGGCACAGTGGAAGCAGCAATGGGCTCAAGTATAGCAATAGTACTGAGGAAGCTGCCAGACTGGACAGTGGTTCATTCTTGTACATAGGGTCCCAATGAGTTGGGACTTACTCAATGGCATCTAACAACAACAACATCATGGATATTTCAGAAAGAACACCTGCTTCCAAAAAGTCACAATCTTGAAAGCCCTTTGGACTCTAGTTCTTTTCTAAACATATGAGGTCTTGGGGAGCTGTAGTTGTGTGTACCCTGCTTTGTACCAGAGAATGGTTCCTGCAGACCGCACCTCTAGGCTCCTGGAGTCTCTCCTTGCCATCTGTCCTCCTGTTTGAGGATTCCTCCAGGCAGGAGATCAGAGATCATGAAGAGACAGAGGTCATTTCTTCCCAGCTCCTTTCCACTTTTGAAGCTTTATCGCTATTAGTAGCTATGTTGCTACCAATTTTATCTGTTGCTGTTATAAGGGAAGGTCTTTCGCTGTGCTCTAGCTCTCACTGAGTTTTCATATATAGTTTATTGATTTCTTCCTAGATGTGGTAAGGACTTACTACACTGGTAAATCTCTGGGTGTTTCACTGCTCCTTGTTTGCTACCTTAGCCTTGTCTCCCATGTCTCAATAATGCCTTCATTTAAGAATCCTTGTCTGAAGTGTCCAAAGCAGATTCTTTTTCTGTCAAAGCCCTGACTGGCACACTCATGGTTCTATGCTAAGCCCTCCAGGCACTATCTTTGGGAGTTCTCATCTCCTGTCAGAACTTCAGCTACCATCATTTTGTCCAATGTCTCTGGAAGGTGACTTGTTTAGGAGTCAATGGTATATGGCTATTGCAAAGGAGTTTGTTGTCTGTAGCTTAATATCTAGTTGGAGACCAAAGATATATTAAATGAAATAGAAAATAGACTATAATTAAGCACTAAGCTTAAATTAATTACCAGATACTTTATAGGATAAACACTGGACTGAAAACCAGCAGGTCAGCAATTCCAGCACACCAGCTACTATGTGAGAAAGAGGAGGCTTTCTGCTACTGCAAAGATTATAGCCTCAGAAACTCTATACAGGGTTGGTATGAGTTGGAATTGACTCAGTGGTGCTTAACAGCAACAGCAACTAGACACTAGGCCAAGTCTCTGGAGATAATATATATGAAAGTGTTTTGTAGACTACAAATTAAAATACGATGATGATGGTGGTGGTGGTGCTGGAAGTGGTAGAAGAGGAGGACAGTGAATATGAATATGAATCTCATCTTAATCCTTGACAATCCCATAGGAAATATGTTAAAACAGGACAGAGTACCAGTGTTGGAGAGTCTAGCAAAGGGAAAGTGTTATTTTTTCGTTTTCATACGGTTTTAACATGGACAAGTGAGCCTTTTTGCAAGGCTAAGAGGCATTTTGTATTTTGTCTTTTCCTTTTCTGGGCAGGTAGCCAAATGGAGAATCGATCATTTATGTTTCTGTATTTCCTACAGAAAAACCACTGGGAGATGAAATGTCAACATTCTTGGCAACTTGCAAATAATGAAACAATTATCTGGGAACCAAGAACTCCTCAACAAATTCAGCACATCTGACAGGAGTGCATCATGGCAGGGAATTCTCTCAGGGTTTTGGATACCTCATGGTTAGGAGGGGTGACAGGTGAAGCCCCTCACTGCAGGCATCACACACACACAGTCACACAAACATGCACACACACACTCACGCATAGGTACATATGCATGTGCCCTGGGGTCCAGCTAGCCTGGTCCAATGTAAAGCCTGAGGGAGACTCTCCAGGAAGCACAGTTTGGTTTCTGCCTCTTAATCTCTCAGACCTCAGTGCTTCTGTGAAGGCAACTGGCAAATGAGGAGCTCCAAGATGGATGCCTCCTGACTTTCTATCTCCCAAGATGCATCAGTTTTTGTTTTTGTTTTTGTTTTTTAACCTCAACAGCCATTCAACTCTGTATAAAAACTAGATCTTTGGAGATGAAGGATTAAGTCACAATATCTTCTTGATTTTTAAAAATTAATATTTGTCAGAAGCAAACATCTATTTTTCCTGGACTTATATTCAGGATAGAGGAACTTTAGCAAGAATCAAGCTTTTGGCCTTTCTCCTCATCTTTCACTCTGGTCTCCTCATGGAGGTAGGCATGGCTCTAACAGGCTGGGAGATTTGAGAGACTGAGCACCTCTTAAATTATTCATTTGTGGGCTCTCTCTGTAGAATCTGCTCACAGGTCTAATCTCTTACCTGAGTTACAGGTCTTACTCTGGAGTGTGGCAAAAGTCAACATTTTCATATAGTAAGAGGATCAACCTGTCTACTTCACTGTACATCTAAACCAGGTCCTAACGCCACTACTACCAGTTGCTACTGAGTCCCTTATGATTCATGGTGACCCCATCACTCAGAGTACAACTGTGAAAACTGTTTGCAAAGGATGGGGTTTTATTTTTGTTTTGCTTTTTATGTTTATTTGTTTTTAAAACTTTTGATTGTGAATTGAGTGAAGATTTACAAACAAGATCATCAGTTTTACATTCAATAAATCACAAACTTTGTTTCATCTCAGTGATTACAACCCCCTCCCTGCAACAACTGTCATCCCACTTCCTCCCTGTGGTCCTATCCCCATTCTACGCTACTTCTCATCCTTGCTCAACTTTGTCCTTAGGAAAATGTTGCTCTTTTAATTTTTAATGACTGATCATTCCATGGTGAGCATGTCTTGCTATTGTTCTTGTCTTCCTTATACAATTATCTACTATTTGGCTGAAAATTGGGCCAGGAGGTGAGTTCTGTTCCAGACTTGAAGTGTGGTCAAGGGACATAGTCTCAGATTCTTCAGTCTTTTTCTGACCAAAGGCTAGTTTTGAAAATGTAGACCACCAAGCTTTTCTTCCAATGTACATCTGGGTGGACCAGAATCTTCAAACTTTTCGTTAGCAGCTATGTTAACTGTCTGTGGCATCCAAGTCCTCCAGCATTAATAAGTTATAATGGTGAAAACTGGAAATCTTCTGCTCACACCTTTGTCTAACTTTCAGTATAATTCGAACTTGGGAGAGTAAGAAGATGGTTCTTTATTGTATTGCCCTAAAATCATAGCATGTTGTTCTTAAGTGCTGTTGAGACTGTTCTAACCCATAGCGTATAGTGTATAGCGTTTCCAAGGAGCAACTGGTGAGTTTTTGAACCACTGACCTTGCAGTTGAAACCGACTTTGCAGTCAAGTACTTATCCTAAGTGCTACACTAGGACTCAAGAACCAAAAATAATAGTTGTGTGATTTATTAAGTATCTATGAAAAAAATGGTGATACTGTCTTATTCAGTACTTTTAGGCACTTTACCAGTCTTGGTTTATTTTGTTTTCTTCCTTCCTTTTTTCTCTATATTAAAAAAAAAAAAAAAAGTTGACCAACTTCTTCTATATTCAAATATTATTCAAAGATGCAAAAAAATGTTATCTTAAATGTAAAAATGAATATGTTGTTGTTAAGTCATTCTGACTCATAGTGACCCTATATCGGGGTTCTGAGGCTGTAAGTCTTCACAGGAGCAGAAAGTCTCATCTTCCTCACTCAGAGTGGCTGCTGGGTTTGAACCACAGATCTTGTGGTTTGCAGTACAGTGCTTATCACATGGAGTCACTGTGCTCTCCTCAAAAGTATATAAAACAGTATAGTGATTCCTATTTTATTACATACTTGTGCATAATTCATATATAATGTATGTGAAAACACAGCATTGTAAGTTATACATAAAAATGTTCATATTGATTTTCTTTGTGTTGTGGAAATTTCTTCAACTTCAAATATTTCTAAAATGAACATGTGAATTTTATAATCAGAAAGTAATTAAACTGTTTTAAATGCATATTTTATATAATTATTGCTGTGTCATTTGGTTTTCTAATATTTTATATCACTTTTCAAAAAAGAAAACAGATGATAGGGAGAATGGAACTTGGAAGAGTGTTCTTTTTTGTGTTTTTAAAGTCCATTTAACAATAAGCTTTTATTATTCTGCACATTGGTTCAATTTCCAATAGATTTCAAAATTTAAAAAAGTTTCTTGAAAGTATTTAAAGACAGAAACCTTTCTGTGAGATCCTGAAATCACAATTTATGGTTATTTATTACTTGAAAAATATTATTCCTTTATTATAATGTGGCCAGAGTACATTAGCAGAAGTTACAAGGATGAAATTTGCTTTTACCTTTTCCTTATTTACTTTTTGCCTTATTTATCATACAGCAATATATATATAATTCTATTAAAAAATAAATATTCACAATATTTGAGGGGCTAAATTATTTGATCATTTTTCACTTCTATTTTTTGCAGGGGTTCCACAATGAAGCTAAAATTGACAAAATGTGTTGTCCTTAAAAAAGAACAGAGCCTGACAAATTATCTGCATATAGTAGGTGTACAATAAACATTTGCTGAATAATTGAAATCTTTTCCTGATGAATAAATGAGATGATTCATCAGGGAACCAAGTAATCTGCCAATAAATGAACAATCAGAATGATTTACCCTAATGATCATTAGTATCATTTGTTTTTCTCCACCATGCTAGACACATGATATTTAAAATAAAATATTGGCACAGCACCTTGAGTTTCATCATGGAATCTTGACATAACTTGTCTCCCCGTGCTGCAGAGACCTCATCAATCCCGATCAGTTTGGCTTTGTACCGGACACCTTCACCTTTAAACCTCTTTATCAAAGTGGCTTCACTGCGATCCTGACCTAAAAACAGAGAAAAATAGGATTCAATCATGGCAATGATCAGGGTCCAAAGGCTTTAGAGAGCCACAGTTCCAAGATTCGTTCTTTGGTTTTATCTACGTTACAGGAACTGTTATTCATCTGTCAGTTTGTTGTGTGTTGCGTTGAGGCTGGAAGCTATACCACCGGTACTTTAAATACCAGCTGCCTAACTCACAGTGGACAGGTTTCAGCTGAGCTTCCAGACTAAGACTAGGAAGAAGGAAATGCAGAACACTTTTGAATGGTTAGCCACTGAAAACGTTATGACTAGCAGCCAAACACTGTTAGATGTAATGCTGGAAGATGATTCCGTTGGGTTGGAAGGCACGCAAAATAGGACTGGAGAAGAGTTGTCTCCTTAGAGTACAGTTGACCTTAATGATGGGAATGGGACAAAGCTTTTGCTAAAGGTGTACAATCAGAACGTGGAATGCACAAATTATGAATTTAGGAAAATTGAATCTAAGAAAACTGAAACTCATCAAAAAAGGAATGGAATGCATAAAGATCAATATTCTAGGCACTAGTGAGCTGAAATGGACTAGTATTGGCCATTTTGAATCAGATAATAAATAAATAGATAAAAATAAATAAATAAATATGCTGGGAGCAAAAAATTGAAGAGGAATGGTGTCAGATTAGTGCATTTCAAGATCTATCTTGAAGTACAATGCTGTCTGTGATAGGATAATATCCATACACCTACAAAAAAGGACAGGTAATACCACTATTATTCACATTTACACACCAAACAATAAACCAAATGATGATAAAATTGAAACATTCTACCAACTTCTTCAGTCTTAAATTGATCAAATATTCATTCAAGATGCATTGACAATTAATAATGATTGGAATACAAAAATTGTAAATAAAGAGAAGGATTAGTAGTTAGAAAATATGGTCTTGGTGATAGAAATGGTGCTGAAGATCACAGGATAGAATTTCACAAGACCAACAACTTATTCACTGTAAATACATCTTTTTTAAACAATCTAAATGCTGACTATACATACTGACCTCACAGAAATCAAACTGACTGCAGCTGTGGGCAGAGATGATGGAGAAACTCAGTATCATCAGCCAAAATAATGTCAAGGGCCAACTGTGGAACAAACCATCAATGGCTCATATGCAAGTTAAAAATGAAGCTGAAGCACATGGAACATTCTCCAGAACTGACCATGTGTTAGGTCACAAAGCAAGCCTCCATAAATTTACAAACATCAAAATACTACAAAGCATCTTTTCAGACCACAATGCCATAAAATTAGAAACAATAATAAGAAGACCAAGGAAAAAAAAAGAAAGAACCAAAATTAACACATTAACACAACATCTCCAGGAACTAGAAATAGACTAACAGAGGGAACCTACAGCCATCAAGAGAAAATAAATAATAAAGATCAGAGCAGAAATAAATAAGATAAAAAACAGAAAAATAATAGAAAAAAAATCAACAGGACAAAGAGTCGGTTCTTTGAAAGGATTAATAAAATTGACAAACCATTGGCAAAACTAATAAAAGAAAAGAGGGAGAAGACACAAATAACTCACATTAGAAACCATATGGGCGATGTCACAATGGAACCAAATGAAATCAAAAGGATAATAACAGAATACTAGGAAGAGTTGTATCAAACAAATTCGAAAACTTAGAAGAGATGGATACATTTTTAGAAAAACATTACCTACATAAACTCACACAGAGTAAACTTGAAGACTAGAACAGACCCATAACAATAGAAGAAATTGATCGGATAATAAAAAAACTCTAACCAAAAGAAGACCAGGTCCAGATGGCTTCACTGCTGCATTCTACCAGACATTTAGGGAAGAGCTGTCACCAATTCTACTCAAATTATTCCAGAATATAGAGGAGGATGAGAAACTTCCTAATACATTTTATGAAGCAAGCATAACCCTCATACCAAAACCAGGGAAGGACATCACTAAGAAAGAAAATTACAGACCAATATCCCTCATGAACATAGAGGCAACAAATTTCAACAAAATCCTAGGCAACAGAATCCAGAAACACTTTAAGTAGCATTCATATCAGGGATGCAAGGATGGTTCAACATTAGAAAAACAATCAATATAATTCACCATATAAACAAGAAAAAAGAAAAGAAAAGAAAACACATATGATCATATTGATAGATGCAGAAAAGTCATTTGACAAATTACAACATCCATTCCTTATAAAAACACTCAGCAGGTAGGAATTGAAGGGAAATTCCTCAACATAATCAAAAGCATATATACAAAACCTACAGGCTATATTACTCTCAATGGAGAGAAACTGAAAGCCTTCCTTCTGCAAACAGGAACCAGAGAAGGATGCCCTTTGTCACCACTCCTATTCAATACTGTGCTTGAAGTCTTAGCCAGAGCTATATGGCAAGATAGGGAAATCAAGGGCATACAAATTGGCAAAGAAGAAGTAAAACTCTCTCTATTTGCAGATGATATGATCCTATATATAGAAACCCCAAAGATTCAGTAAAAAAGCTACTAACCTCATTGGAAGATTCAGTAAAGTGGCAGGATATAAGATCAACATACAAAAATCAGTTGGATTCCTCTATATCAAAAACAACAGTGCTGAAAAGGACATTAGGAAAACAATGCCATTTATAATAGCCACCCAAAGGATGAAATATCGAGGAATAAATGTAACCAGAGAAACAAAGCATCTCTACAAGGAAAACTGTAAAACACTACTATAAGAAACCAAAAGAGGCCTACAGAAAGGGAAGAATACACCATGCTTCTGGATAGGACTTAACATTGTGAAAATGTCAATACTGCCCAAAGCAATTTACACATATAATACAATCCCAATCCAGATTCCAACATCATTCTTCAAAGAGATGGAAAAAACAATTACAAACTTTATATGGAAAGGAAAGAGATCTAGGATAAACAAAGCACTACTTAAGAAGAAGAACAGGGTGGGAAGCCTCTCACTCCCTGATTTCAAATTTTACTACAGAGCTACAGTGGTCAAAACAGCCTGATACTGGTATAATGAAAGCTACATAGATCAATGGAACAGATTTGAGAATCCAAAAATTAACCCACCCCCATACAGCCAACTGATTTTCGACAAAGTACCTAAGTATATTGCATGGGGAGGAGATGGTCTCTTCAACAGATGGTGCTGGCAGAACTGGAAAGCGATATGCAAAAGACTGAAACAAGACCTTTACCTCATGCTTTATACAAAACCCAACTCAGCATGGATTAAAGACCTAAATGTGAATCCCAGAATTACAAAAATCATCAATGAAAAAAACAGGGAACAATGTGGGAGCTCTAATACAGGGCATACACAGACTACCAAACATTTTGAGACTTACACAAACAAAAACAGACAAAATAGATCAATGGGACATACTAAAAAATAAAAACTTGTGTGCATCAAAAGACTTCATTAAAAGAGTCAAAAGGGAGCCCATAGAATGGGAAAAAATCTTTTGCAATGATACATCAGTCAAGAAATTAATTTCAAAAATATATAGGAACCTATAACACTTCTATAAGAAAAGGACAAATAACCCAATTAAAAAATGGGCTCAGAGCATGAATAGACACTTTATAAACGAGGAGATCTGGGCAGTCAACAAATATATGAAGAAATATTCACGGTCACTAGCCATTAGAGAGATGCAAAGAAAAACAACAATGAGATATCATCTCACCCCAGCAATAATAACAAAGATTAAAAAAAGTAGAGGACAATAAGTGTTGGCAAGGATGTGGAGAGACTGGGACCCTACTACATTGCTGGTGGGATTGCAAAATGGTGCAATCACTATGGAAAACAATATGGCACTTCTTCAGAAGGTTGGAAATAGAGATATCTTATGATCCAGCAATTCCTCTACTTGGTATTTATCCTCAAGAAATACGAGCCATAATACAAGTACATATATGCACACCAATGTTCATAGCAGCACTATTTACAACAGCAAAAAGATGAAGACAGCCTAAGTGCCCATCTATGGAAGAATGGATAAACAAACTTTGGTACATACACAAATGGAATATAACGCTACCCTGAAGAACAACAAAGAAGCAGCAAACTACCACATAACATGGATGAACCTTGAGGGCATTATGCTGATTGAAATTAGCCAGTCACAAAAGGAGAAATATGGCATAGAGCCATTATTGTAAAAAATTAAGAAAAAGCACCCACACTGAACGGGGGAAACTTATCTTTTATTATTTTATTTTATTTTTAATGTTATTATTATTACCATCTTTTCTGTTGTTGGTGGTGGTGATTACAGGGGTGTAGAGGGTGGGATGGGGGTGGAATGGGAAGGTGGAGCACAAGGTAGGGAATAGGCACAGGATAGTGGAACACAGGGTATGGTATAGACACAGGACAGTTTGGTGATGGTGGGGGCAATACACTAGAAGAGGAAGGGGAAAAGAAAAATAAGGCAGATGGGAGAATAGCTCAGCAGGTTTACATGGGCTAAATGGGACAGCAATAAATAACAATCTTAGCACAAACGTGGATAAACAGGGTTCGTGGATACAAAGATTGAGGCATGGTTTGAATGGGTAAAGGTGGGGAAATGATGTTAAGATGCTTGCCTGTTTGTTGAATCTTGGTTTCCCTTGTCTACTATTGTAAAATAGACACTTGGAGGGGAGAGATAGGAATAGCCAGAAACATCACCAGAGAAAGCTTGTAAGTCTGTCTTCAGCCAATAACTGTTTGCAATAACTAAAATGGGGCTAGAACTTGCCCAATGAAGAAGGCTCCCTGCAAAGCCTTTGCATTGCACAAGATCATAGGTAGGATCCTAATCCTCATCCAAAATCATCTGAGGTGGGATATTCCCACATGAAAGGACAAGCAGACCGGTCTGGAACAACTAGAAAAACAGAAGATACTTCTTGAAAGAAAGACCAGCAAGAAAAACAAACAAAGAAACAAATAAAACAATAGCAGCATT